TGAGTGAGTGAGTGAGTGAGAGTGACACGTGTAGTGAATCGTGACTTTTGGACATGTGGCTCGTTTGCAGATTTCGTGGCAGGCACAGCACTGTGCGAACCTCGATGTGCAGATCTCGTGGCAGCCACAGCAGTTTGTGAACCTCGACGCGCAGATTTCGTGGCAGGCACAGCACTTGCTGAACCTCGAAGTGGAGATTTCGTGGCCGAAGTGGAGATTTCGTGGCAGGCGCAGTGCTTTGTGAACCCCGAAGTGCAGATTTCAGCGCAAGCGCCGCACTTTGTGCTCTCAGATGCTCACCCTCACTCTCACTCACACTCACACTCACATTCACACTCACCCACACTCACTCTCACTCTCCCTCTCGCTCTCGCTCACACTCACTCACTCTCCCACTCTCACTTTCACTCACTCTCCCACTCTCACTCGCACTCACTCTCACTCCCACTCTCACTCTCACACTCCCACACACACTCACTCACACCCACTTTCACTCTCACTCACACTCACACTCTCCCTCTCACTCACACTCACTCACCCACACTCACTCTCACTCACACTCGCTCTCACTCTCACTCACACTCCCACTCACACACTCACACTCACTCACTCTCCCACTCTCACTCACACTCACAGCGCAGTCGTTAGAAGCACCCGCAAGGGGCAACCAGACTTTGTGAGCCTGCACAGTCGTAATGCACATTGACGATGTCGAGAGGCATGAATCTACTGTAAATAGCAACGAATTAGCCAGACACGGCCGCGCGCTTCAGCGATCTAAGCATCAGCTGCTTTTCTACTACCGTAAGAACCCCTGTGTGTCCACACTATTTGGGGAAATATCGTGTTTCTTGTACTCATTACTGTTTGCGAGAAGGAAATGAATATTCTCCAAAAGCAAGGAAAAATTAAGCAAGATTGAAGGGGACACTTGGAAACTTGGGGGCTTCCTTGTTGGTATATACCTCCTTTCGGGGAGTACTGGAAATTAAACGGTGGGAAGTTGGATTCAGTAGTTAAAACTGGTGACTAGTGTCATTGTTGTGGGTCAATGAACGTGTACCGATTCAGACCCGGGAGGAGTGAATGATCCCTGAACACACTCACGCTTTCAAGTTCACTCCGGCCCAAAACTGCCACGCATGGAGACTAGTTGTCCTTAGGTGGGCTGAATTCGGTCATCACTAGAAACTAGTGCAACATGTCAACGACGTAAGTGGTCTTCACATCAGTGTTTGTTTCCTTTCACACTTGCTCCACAGGATTGTTGATGTCCAAACTTATTCCCCCTCATGGACCTACACGAACTCCCAAGAACCTATCGTATTCACAGGCAGCAAATATGAGAAATGTAGGCCCGTGTTGAAGCCCCACCACAAAAAATAATAGACCTTTTTCTATATATACACAGTGTTCTGTTTGTGGCCTAGGGGCACTTGTTTCTATTTATATATATTTACAGGGATCCTCTTCCAACCAGAGCATCATGTTTTTGCAAGACATCTTCCAATTAGAGCGAAACCGAGCTACCATACTTTGCTGCGTGAAAGAACCCTGCGTACCGTAAGTGAGTCTTTTAGTCAATATGTCTATAAGCTATTGTTATGTGCATCTACATTCTGTTGCACTCATCTTTGTAGAAAGCAGGTGTCAGTTGCTGCCAAATGGGTGCGTTCACAAAGAACGCAAGTTGATTCAAGGATCCCTCTTCAGATAGAAGAATCCATCTCAGTCAATTTTGCACCAGTCATTCTAAACTTTTGTGAAGCTGCCAGCGTCAAGGGATCGCATTGCACACAAAAGACAAGAAGAAATTGGTGGCATCTGGGGAGATACTTGTATGTAACAAAGGAACTAATGAAGAAGGAAACCTCAAAGAGCTGATGCAAGGTTGAGAAGTATCTACTGGCACTAGACCCAAGGACGCTAATCATTCTAGACCTACCATCTTGGAAAGCTCGTAATACTGATGCCTGTGAAAGCTCGCTTCCAAGGTACCCAAGGGCAATGAATGTACTCTGTGGGCAAGTGCCGCAGCTCTGGCAGCCATCTTCGCACATAGTGACCCGCTGGATCCACCTGCACATGCTGAGACAGAACTGAGAAAAAGTAATTCCTTCCAATGTTCTCACCCAACCTCTTATGACATGTTGTCCTAGCTTCCCTTACTTTCCTGCTTCTATATTCACATCCTTCTCCTCTCTTCCCTTTCTTCCCTTCTTCTTTTCATGCCTGCCTACCATCTAACTTCCGTTTCTCCGTTTTTAGTCATCGTCGTCATCCTTAGTCTTCAGTGGCTCAATCACCGCAACCACCGCAACGTCAACCGCAAGGATGTGGGGTCCACACACAAATGTGTGTATCGGATATCGTATTGTATCGTACTCCAAATTGAATTCAGTGCTTGCTTCCGCTCCTTTTCGCAACGTTAATCAAGTCTATCCATACTCTGCAACTTCATCCATGTATTCCGATCACCACTCAATTCCATGGCTGACAAAAGTCCACGTCTGCAACATCGACCGACTTTTTGAAGGCTATTCTTGAATAAAGACCTTCTTGCCGGCGAAAACAGGATGCATGACAAAGTTCCAGGATCCGATGCCAGAGTGACCACCTCAGGAGCAAATTAGCATCTTTTTTCATAAACATATGTATATATATATGTATACAGTGTTGCAAAAATAAACAAACAATGCACTAATAACACAAATGCAAATGAGA